ACACACAATCTTAGCAGTTTTGAGGGCTGTTTTGAATTGTTTACATACCCTGACGAACTCCATTCTCAGGCGACCACTGTCCATGAAGCCATGTAGATGTATTTTGGTCACATTTCCTTGTCAAGCATGACATGAGCTTCAACATGATGCCGGCGTATAACATATGTTACGAAGTGTTTGATCCAACAGATACAGTGGGCTACACAAGTCAACCTATGTGGAAGCTCGAAACATGATCTTCTCCATCGCCGGCATAATGCCGTTTTTTCTTTCTTCAGCGAAATGCAGACGCAACACTGCAAGTCTGCAACAGGGATGCCAATGCCAATGCCAATGCCGAAGCCCATGGGCTACCTATTGGGCTCACCAAGACAGGGTAAATGCTAGAGAGATGGCCGACTGACATGTGGGTCTGCTATTTTTTTTCTTTTTTCTGACTGATATGTAGGACTTGTTAAGTTTTTTTTTATTGCTATATAAGCGTCACGTAGACGCCACATAAGACGAAGATCAAGTCAACATATCACATAGGATGAAACTGCCGAAGAAATATGCTCCGGTTTTAGCAGTTGGAGACGTTCTATGTATGGTTTAACGGTCGGGAATGCAAATAAAACTCGACTTATAGTTGAGGACTGAAATATGGACCTTTTCCTTAATCTAACCGCGAGAGATTGTCTGAACCGTCCAAATTGGGTTTCTTTACGTGTCAACATACCTGGGCCTCATCTTCCTACATTTTATTGGATTGGGCCTTGCAGATCTTCCTGAACAAAACTCCCTCTGGCCTCTTATGGATGGGCCTCAAAACTCAGCCATCCACGTGGTGTAGGCCGATAAATTAAAACTCCAGCCCATACACATGAATGGACCTAAATTTAGCCCATACTAATTGCCAAACCAGGCCACAGTACTTTGTTGCAACTCCGAACTCTGAATTGCAGCTCCCAATCATTGTCCGGCGAAAGAGCCGGGTCATCATCACAGTCACAGATAGCTTTGTCTCACCTAAGAGCAGGTACAATAGTCTAGTCGGCAGGCTCCAAAATATTCCATGTTAGCATATTCTTATATGGAATGAGAATAAGAGCGGTTACAATAGCAGGCTATAAGTCAGCTATAAATATATTTTAAAGAGATAAATAAAGAGAGAGAAGAGTAATAGGCTATAGATTTGTAGCCAGCTATAGCACAAACTTCAAGACGTACTGTGTGTATGACAGGTAGGGCCAGGTATTAATAGTATAGTAAGCAACTATTGTATGAATTGATTCTTCTATTGGCCATAAATGATTTGGAGTTAGTAGTTGGCTATACTATTAAACTTGCTCTAACTGAAGAGAGAGATTGAAGTGGGCGACTATTTAAGTGCCCGGCGATAGCACGCGTTGCACGATAAAAAAATACATTTTGTGGGCCCCACAACCACCCTCATCGGATCTCATGTCTCATACTTGTGTTCCCACCTATGTTCTGCTTTTCGCCTTTTCCTTCTCCGCTCCGGCGTGCGCCGATGTGCTTGGTTCTTCGCCGGAATGTTGGCCAGCGTCACGTCACTACGCCGGCAATGATTCACCCCAGGAGAGTTCGAGAGCTCCACCAGCTGATTTCGAGCTCGCGCTGATCGATCTCATGCATGCGAACCGACGCCCTTGCCGCTGGATCGATCTTCTCTCGGCACGAATCAAGCTTCTCAAACCTCAAAATCGAGTTCTTGCTGCTGGGGTCGACGCCCTCCCCTCCGAACTGAAGCGAATCGATGTATGGATGGAGCTCCTTAATCTGTGACTCGACATAACCCACCGCTCGGTTTGCTCTGGTATGAATCAGCCATTGCCTAGCTGCAAAACCCATCTTTCTTCTTTGCTATTCTCTTGTTTTTTTTCTTTTCTCTCTTTTTTGCTTCCGTGTGAATGGAGATGGATAAAAGGATAAACCACCAGTCATTTTCTTTTAGTTGCTGTTTCTGGTGTTGATTTCAATCTAAAGCTGTGCGGGAGATGAGCTAGGAAAGCAAAAACCAAACTCTTTCTTTTTCTTCATCGGTAGACTACTCACGCTCATATGACAGCACAAATAGCTACAAAGATGGAGTACATTCTTGATCGTACTGTGTATCCAAAATTAATTGTTTAATAGCTTCTATGTAGTTAGCACAATAGCCAATCTATTGTATTAGTTAGCTGTAAAATAATGTGGCATTTGGTACCGCCAGCAGTCGGCTATACTATTGACCTTGCTCTAATCTGTGTAATTTTCTTCTACTTCTTCTTTTTCTTTTTCTTTTCTTTCTAGTGGTGTGTGTTTATCCACCACTAATTTCCTTGTGCTTGGAAAGCTGTTCCATAATCCTCTCAGCAATGAGTGTATTATTGACTTGGTTTCACGCTATGAACTTGGCTTGACTGATTGGTGGAGACGCGAATATGGGGGGCTGGATTTTGCATACGGTACGCAGCAGAAGACGCAGGCATCCAACGACAGTGTGCTTTTGTGACAGATGATGCTGAAAGCATGAGAGGTACAGGTACTGGTACCCGATGAAGGCCCTGACGGACAAAACGAACCGGTCGAAAGTCATTGGGAGCGAACAAAAATAAGCACTCAAAAGAAGACGCACGACGTGACAGGAACCCAATAGCAGTATAGGACGATCAGTTAAGCACCTCACGTATCGACCGTTCTTTTTCCAGATCCGTGCGAGATGGAACGGAACCGACATGTGTACGGGGATATATATTACTACTTCCTCCGTGATACTTACTCATATCTGCTTCATCCGTCCATAATATAACAATTTAGAATTAAATAAAAAATTAGCATAAGACATGTCCAAATGCATTGTGCCATAGTATTCCATAGTATTCCACCAGTTATTTCGATTTTAGATTGCTATATTATGGGACGCTAAAGAAAGTAGTAAATTATAATACTTTTAGGTTCTGTATCACTTATATTGGAATTATTAGCATCTTTGCTACTAACTCCGTAATAAAATATAACAACTTTTAAATGTCTATTAAGTACAACTCTAGTTCCAGCTTCAAAGCTGGAATCTAGTTAAACAGTTTTAACTCTACCTAAAATAAGAGTGGGGCTAGTTGAAGCGCTCTTCCAAGATGAACTATAATGATGAAAGTGAGTTTAGGCAACTCCGCTCCGAGCCCAACTTCTAAAGTTAATTTTAGAAATTACTACATCCGTCCCAAAATATAACAATTTTAGTTACGAATCTAGACACACAATTATCTAGATTCATAGCTAAAAATACTTATATTTTGAAACGGATGGAGTAGATATCTATCAAATGGATCCTTATATTTTTACTAGAACGGAAGGATTAAGTGATTCTTGAACGGTCAACAAAGCATCCGTGTATCACACTAAATCACAATATCGTTTGTACATCGGTTCAGTTTTATGGTCTTTTCCTTCTTTTTATCTAAATTCGTAATACTGATTTTATGTTGTTATTATATTTTAGAATAATAGATGTACCCTGGTACATGTGTTGATGTAAAAGCATCGTTCATAAGACAGACAGTCAGACAGCTCGCATATGCTCCAGTTTTTTTTTCCTAGAAAATCGAATGTTTTCAGCCTCCAAAACTGTAAGGACTCGTAACATTATCCAGGTAGTACCTAGATTTGCAAGGCTCGGCGCACGCATCAGCCTTTGCACGCTATCCCGCGTCACCCATTCATTCGGCGGAGACTTGACGCCGACTCGAATCAAACCCCGTTCTCTTAGCCCATACGACACGACCGCCGCCGCCGCTGCAATCCGCGCGGAAAAACGGCGGAATCCCACGAGTCGTCACGGGCGTCTCGGCGCACGGCTGTTCAATCCGTAGCGTGTGTGCAGCGCACGGCACGACGGAGACGAAGAGACCGGGTCTGTGGCTCGGTTTCTGGCTGCGCGCGGCGCGACTCGGGGAGGGGAATAATCCAAAAGTATCTGGGATTATTCCGGAATCTTGGCCGCCTTTCTGTCCTTTCCCTTCCAACCTGTTATTTTTGTTCTTTTATAACAGCAAGTTTAAAAGTGTAGCTCACCACTAGCTCCAAATCATCTATATTTAATTTAATAGCTAATTCATACTATAGCCACCTATGCTGCACTATTAATTTTTTTTGCCCCACATATCATACATAATATATTGTATCTTAGAATCCGTTCTACAATTCGCTTATAAATATATTAGTCCGCTGCTTTTCTCCCTTGTCGGTTATTTTACCTCTTCTAACGAGAAATTCTCTCATGGCCTGGCCGGCTGGCACCCCACCACGTTCAGCTGCAGGAGGAGACGGAGATATCTAATCCTTTTTTGCAAGACCAACCTCGCAAACGCTTCTATTTGCGTTGCTTGTGAAAATCAACCTGCGTTGTCTTGTGCTCGCTTGCTTCCGTTTGACGCGGTAGCTGACCAGCCTATGATATACTCCTACAGCCATACAGATAATGGTAGCAGTATCACCACAAGAATGTCCCATCTTTCGTGTGTAAGGCACGTTAGTCTCAGGAGGAAAATGACGGCACTCATTGACGATAAATTAACTTGTGGGTTTAGCTTAACTGTTGCTTTGTGCGAACAAATCACGCGCTACAATATTAAGGGAGAACATATGATGATAGTGTAGGGTCTAAAACTTAGTCCCCGTTCGAATCCTCCGAAGACGAAGATTAAAAACAGGCACACAAAATAAAAAATCCATTAACACGTGATTAATGAAGTTTTAATTAAACCGAGACAAAATCTTTATCTTTGTGAGAAAAAAGAACGGGGCCTAATATTCCACGAAACGGGATAGATTCGCGTGCAAATGGTCTCCTTTTGCGTACAACCCCTCGGATTCTCTCTCATATTGACACAATAACACAAATCAAGCCCCCTGACATTTCGGAAATCAACAAAAAAATCAGGTCCCCGTTGAAGAAACCAACAAAAGAACAGAAAAACCCCACACATAAAACACGCGACAACCACCACCACCACCTTCCCCCAACCTCCGATTTCCAAATCCAGTTGTCTTCTTCTTCCCCCGAGCCGCGGCCGCGTTGCCAGCTCAGCTTCGAACCCCCCCCCATTTCTCTCCGCTTCTCCTTCTCCTCCCCTCGCACTCGCCTCCCCAATTTTAAACTCCCTTCTCTCTCTCTCTCGTCGTCGTCGTCCACCGCCGCAAAGGGGTCTCGTCTCTCTCGGGGGCGATGGCGGCGTCGTCGTCGTCGTCGTCGTCGATGGCGTCGCCGAGGGGGAGGTCGATCCGGGAGACGGTGCTGGAGACGGTGGCGGCGTACCACCAGCAGCAGAGGATGAGGCGCAAGTTCAGGAAGAGCCTCTCCTACGCGGGGGAGCTGTCGTCGGCGGGGCGCGCGCGAGGGGAGGGCGGGGCGTCCTCGTCGGCGTCCACCACCTCGCTGTGTGGCCCCGACGAGGACGACGAGCCCTTCTGGGAGGAGGAGGAGGGCACCGTCGAGCTCGTCCAGCTCGGCGCCAACCGGGCTAAGAACGTGCTCATCCTCATGAGCGACACCGGCGGCGGCCACCGCGCCTCCGCCGAGGCTATCAAGGACGCCTTCCGCATCGAGTTCGGCGACGATTACCGGGTGCGCGGCCTCCTTTTTTTTTTTTTGCTGCTGTCGTCTCGTGTGAAATCGGCATGGTAGCGTAGGCTGGAATCTGGCCATTGGGAACACAAGGGTTTTGATTTGTTGTGCTCGGGATTGGCGTTGTGGCAGGTCTTCGTCAAGGATCTGTGCAAGGATCACGCGGGGTGGCCGCTGAACAACATGGAGAGCTCGTACAAGTTCATGGTGAAGCATGTGCAGCTATGGAAGGTGGCCTTCCACACCACATCGCCGAGATGGGTCCATTGCTTCTACCTCGCCGCGCTCGCCTCATTCTATGCCAAGTACGCCGGATACTTCCCTTTCACGGCTCAGCAATGTTTTTTTAAAAAAAAAATCTTACTAGAATGTTTCATTGTTTCACTGACAGCTTTGGCGATTTGTGTTTTTCGTAGTTACGAATTGTTGTTTTTTTTTTCTGTTGTTTGCTGCTTCCTTGGATTGCTAATCGCTCATCTAATTGCAGATTTTTGCAATGGTTCAGCAGTTTTGTCATTATCGACTAGGCTTATAATTTACTCTAGAGAAGTTTTATTAGTGCTAGATATTAGCCCGTGATGTTACAGGATTAGTTTTATATTGCCAATTCTTGAGTGCAATCTTCAACTGTGAGGTTCTTCTTTGACTTGGGATGCTAAAATATCTGTTCTGAATCCATCGTACCACATAGTGCGAGTAGTTTGCTTGAAATGCAAATCTGAATATATGGTAATATTGAGCCGAGATATGCAACCATGTTGGATCTGTTGAACCAGAGGGTTGGAGACAGGACCAGAGAGCATTTCAGAAAATTCAATTCCTGCCCTGTGCATCTACCCAACATGCCCACTTGGTCATCACTCATATGCTTTCAGAATTGCCAGTCTGTCCTCGCATAAAATTGTTTCCAGGTCATGATCCACATATTATGCATCATAATAGCACATGCAAACTGTTCATTTGTTGGATCGCTGTCAGTTCTGTCTAATTCCATGCTTCAGCAATCTCTGCCAACCAATTGACAGTATAGTCAATTTAATATGTCCGTTCAAGTTTTGGATCTATTCCGATGTTGCCATTGATTATATTTGTTGTTAGCGTTCTATGATCGAAATTGCTTCGAGAAGGCATCAAACTAATGTAAAACAGTTCATTTATAGCTCTAACTTGTGGACCCATGATCTTAAGCTCATCGACCCATTATGTGTGTGAGACTTTTTCTTTACATCAAGATGGTACATGGAACACCTTTTCTGAATAGCTTATTGTTTGTGGGTGAAGGAAGGTTGAGGCTGGACTCAAGAAGTACAAACCAGATATTATAATTAGTGTCCACCCCCTCATGCAACACATTCCTCTATGGGTACTCAAATGGCAAGGGCTACAAAATAGAGTGGTCTTTGTCACTGTCATCACAGACCTCAACACTTGTCACCCTACATGGTACGTGGAGGCTATCCATAAGAAAAAACCTGGTTATCTTCTTCTGCAAAAACAATTGTTTCTGTTCAAACCATTGAATTAATCAATCGGAAACATTACAGGTTCCATGCTGATGTCAATAGATGTTACTGCCCATCGGAAGAAGTTGCCAAGAGAGCAGCACTGGATGACCTACAACCTTCTCAAATCCGTGTGTTTGGCCTTCCGATTCGGCCATCATTCTGCCGAGCCGTTCTTGTTAAGGTATGTGCTCCTTATTTAACTTCAGGACTGTTATTCCGATGCCTGCGAATTTTTTGTTTCATATTTGATCTCTCAAAAGGTAGATATTCAGTCGTGGTATTTTACTTGATCTTTCAATAGGTAGATATTCAGTCGTGGTATTTTATTTGATCTTGCAGAATGTATAGGTTATTTATGCTTTTTTATTTAACATGCTTAATGAATGCTCTTATCATGGATTTGTGCTTTGATTAATTGCAAGCATGCATACCCCAAAAGCATTGCTTTAAATTTAGGATGTCCATTGACTATATTTTAAAGGAAAAATGACAAATTTATGATAGTGTGGCTGTACAATGATACACATCTTAATACAAATGTGTAGTATGCTTTTCTATCCACTCAAGTGTTACTTTTTTTTTAAACCAACTCACCAGGATGATTTGAGGAAGGAACTTGAATTGGATCCTGAGCTGCCTGCAGTATTGCTGATGGGAGGTGGAGAGGGCATGGGTCCTGTCAAGAAGACCGCAAAAGCCCTTGGAGAGTCGTTGTTTGACAAGGAGCTTGGAAAACCAATTGGACAGTTAATTGTCATTTGTGGTCGGAACAAAACGCTGAGCTCCTCATTGCAGGCTCTTGAATGGAAAATACCAATTAAGGTATATGATAGAAACGTGTGTTTATAATAATTCTTTTTAAGATGCAGACTGCTTATCCTCCTATGTTGAAACACATGTTCCTTATCGACTTCTTTTAACAAAAGGTTAGGGGATTTGAGACCCAGATGGAGAAATGGATGGGGGCTTGTGATTGCATTATAACAAAGGTATATCCATGACATTCTATGATTGTTAGCACGTTATTTCATACAAAGATCTCTGTGTCATTCTTAAATCTTAAATGTTTTTTATGTTTTTATTTGTCTCAATAGGCTGGACCAGGTACCATCGCCGAAGCCTTGATTAGAGGGTTGCCTATCATCCTTAATGACTTCATACCTGGACAGGTTAGGGTCTACTAACTTTCCGCGGTTATTATAAAAGAACGGTACGAATGTACATCTATGTTTTATATGGTTATTGACTTTGTGGACCATACATATTTAATACTACAAGGGTGAATCTCATGAAAGTTTTATACGTTAAATAAAAAAGATGTGTATGTGTTTTAGAACTTATTTGTAGCGTCAGTGACACTAATGTTATGCAGTGCACAAAATAAATGATTTTTTATCAAGTGCGATATACAGTATGTAGCAGTTATATGATCACCCAGTGGACATCATCTAATGTAAGTTTGTTCTGCATGGCAGGAAGTTGGCAATGTCCCTTATGTTGTGGACAATGGTGCTGGTGTCTTCTCCAAAAGTTCTAGGGAAACTGCTAAACTTGTTGCCCGCTGGTTTGGTCCAGATTCTGATGAACTGAAGAGGATGTCAGAAAAAGCGTTAAAACTGGCTCAGCCAGAAGCGGTGTTTGATATTGTCAGAGACATCCATGAGCTATCTCGGGAGCAAGGGGTGATTTCACAGATATCCAGTTCCTTGACATCATCCTTTTTCATACCATCGCCAGAAACCACACCTATACAACTTATGTGAAAAATCCGTGTATAGCTAGAACTGCATTCTTTGACCTCGTGAAATTTGCCTTTGTCCTACAATGTCCTGAAAAAGAAAAATATGTCAATGGATTTAGCTGGTTTGTTTCATCTGTCTCACGGCGTTGGGATGAGGTAAGCAGGATTTCGACTGCTTTTCAGTTTGTGGTCTCTCATGGTAGTTATGGGCTTGTTTGACTGACAGCTGCTCTTGTGTAATATCCATATTCGGTTTTTGTTAAAATCATTCGTTCATATGATTTTTTTTAAAAAATCCTGTCGTCCTTTGTTCAGAGGGACCAGCGATGGGCTGCAAATTGTACACTGTTAGTTGATGTTGGAAAGTTTAAACCTCTCGACTTGTAACATATCCATTCATGTAAGATCCATCGTGACTGTAAAGTGTATGAGACAATGACAAATTGTGCTAGTGAGAGAGTCATGTGCTTGTTGAAGGACAGTGAGTGATCTATCAATTGAGAATTCTTACCTGCACCGTAAGGAGCTAATGCTGGCCTGCAACAATAGAATGTTCTTTTTTTTTTGTCTGGCCGGCCGCAGTTCTGCTTTGCTCACTGAGCCATCAGCCATGCCAAAACAATTGTTCGCAGTGCTTACCCCATTTAAACCAAAAAAAAAAAAACAATGTGTTGTTGGAGCTGACCGTCTGAGATGCACGATGTTGCAAGAGACAAACCTAAAAACTGGATGTTGAAACCTACAATTGGAGAGAGACCGGACGGTAAGTGTGGACATCGCTCTCACGACGCAGCCTAAACAAGCAAAAGCAAAACCTGAACCCAACGGAATGGATGGATGGATGGGCTGTGCTGCCTTGTGCATCTGCAACTATATTGGTCCGGGCCGAGAAGAACGCACTTACGAGTGACCGAGCAAGAGCAGGACGAGGAGTGAGAGGGGCCGGAAGGTTTTCCTCACAATGATGAAGGTCCACCCTTTACAAGACAAAAGTGGCCATGATGCACGACGCCTACATAAAGGAAAATCCTTTTTCAGGTATCTGATGATGACGAATGATCAGCGATGCACTCATCTGCCTGAATGAGATCTTTTCGAGCCTCACCATTTGCCTACAAATAATTAGCAGCCGTTAAATTTTTAAGATATTTTTAATGTATTATTTTCAGCATTTGCCTTAGGGGCACATATATACATTTTTTTCTGATAAATTATATTTTAATCACTAATAAACCGTTTTGACATATAATCAGCTCGGCAAGGTCTTCATCTCTGACGCTCTTTCTTCCTGGTAGCCATTCTATTTCCTTTGATGTGTTCTTTTCTAGTGGTAATCTAAGAAATTTTTTAATGATCCACATAAAACAGTGCGAAGGTTTCTATTTATATTAGCAAAAAAATATTACAAGATTACAACTCTAAAAGGCTCTAATCATGAAAAGGAAAAGAAAACACACCACCACGTGCTAGTGACTTCTTAGGGCAAGTACTATAAGAGCAGGTACAATAGCAGCTGGTATGCCGGCGACATGCAGACCACGTAGACCGGAGCGATGATTTGGCAGAAAAAAGGCAGGAGAGAGAGGGCGAGTCGGCGACTAATCTGTCGCTTGGCTGCATTCGTGTTTCGAGAAAAGTGGGTCCCGTTGGTGCCATAGATCAGCAGCGGTGAGATAATCTCCAGAGAGAGAATAGGATGAATGAAGAATAAAATACTACTGCAATGAAAGGATGGTCAGACTGGTTAGAGCCTGCTTATTGTGCTGGTAAGCTACTAAACCAACTTTTGATGATATGGTGGAAATTGCAGCCGACCGTGGACGTTACTATTGATCTTGCTCTAAGCATCTTATCACTAATTCCAAGATGCCATGTAGACTCAAATGATGATGTGGAGGAGAGAAGAGAAGAGAGAGAGGAGCAGCCACCCCTCGTGCAAGGGGCAACCTCCACACAAGTTTCAAGAAATGGGAGAGAAAGAGAGAAGTATATTGGGTCTAGTGTAAGTAGATGCAATCTATTGTATGTATTACCTCTAAATTAATGTGTAGATGATTTGGACAAAATTAGATGTGACCACCTCCTCTATTATAAAACTTGCCCTTACACACCCTAGGAGAAGCACTAACACCAAGCCGCCGCCGCCGCTATACGAGACCAATCATCGTTAGTACTACTGAGTTGCAAATGTCGGGCCAAGCACTAGCTCCAATTCCACTGGAGCTAGTATCATCATAAAATTGAACCGTGCTTCTAAAGGATGCTACTTTCTTAAAACAATTATATAAATTTATCAGAAAAAATATTTGTTTAAGTTAAGTTATTCACATATATGTAGCCAGTAGCCACCAGTATTATCATAAAATCATTTAGTTGTTCAGCTATTCATGGAAGAAAAAAAGAGGTCCATGAGCCTGATTGTCGCTGTCAGAAAGGAGCCGTGGGTTGCTGACAGAGGATTCCCTCTTCTTGACTGTTCTTGTTACAGTAGCAGAGGCACCCAGGAAAATTCGATTCACTAGATGCGGATCTGTTGGGCCAAGAGGGAGAGGCGTAATCAAACACGGGATCGCATGATATATCAGTTGCTCTCGTGGCCGTAATTTTTGCGGCAACTCTCCTTGCATCTTGCCTTTGACATTTGGACAAATTTTTCGTGGCCCCAGCGCGATCTGGAAACTGCCATCCATCTCGCCAATTGCTGCTGCAGCAATCGCAGAGGCAATCTTTGGATCGTGCCAGATTAATTGCGCCCTGTCACGCTATTACAACTACGACCGACCATAGCACCAATCACAAAAACCAATTATTTGCTGAGAAGACGTTCGTCCAAAATCAAAGTAAACACATTAAACTAGATGGCATATCTTAATATTAATAACGATCAATATGAGATTAAACTGATATATTTTAAAATTAGCGAAGTTATCACACACGACCTCGTTAAAAGAATAATAAATTCCAAATTTAAGGCTTAAACCTGGAAAATTCCCCCCTGCTTTGACTGCTAAACTGCTCTTTGAATCATGGATCCCTCCCTATCGTTGTCCTTACATCATTTCCTACCGAATTTTTACACGCTAAAAAATTTGTTACATCATCATTAACACTTGGATCGGAGCCATCGTCGTCTTCTAAACAACAACTCTACTACACAAGAAGCTCCCTCTACACAGCTCTACTACTACTATTTACAAGGGGATAAAAAATTTATATAGGAAAAAGGAAAAATGAGACAAAATGCCATTCCTACCAACCACGCGTGAGCAGCGAGTGGGGCCCGCGCGTCAGTGAGAGGGAGCTCCGGGCTACGGCGTGGCGCCCCAGAGCACGTCGGCGAGCACCGTGGCCTCCTCCGCCGGCGACACCGCGGCCTCCCGGACTCGCCGCAGGATCTCCAGCTTCGCCGCGAGCTTCTCCCGCTGGCTCAGCCCCTCGCCGACCTCCACCTGCACCGCGAACCGCGCCACCGCGCTCACGAACGGCCGGGCCGACGACGTCGCCGCGCCGCCGCCGCCGCCGTCGTCGGCGTCGTCGTCCTCCCGCTGGCATCCGAGGATCCCGGCGAAGAAGATGACGCCTCTGATGATCCCGTGGTCTGGCTTCTCTTGCGGGGAGAAGTAGGAATCGAAGGTCTCGGAGTCGGAGCGCTGGAGGCAGAGGAGGCGCTTGACGAGGCCCTCGGCGAGGAGCGCGTCGACGATCTCCTTGCGGGCGTAGTAGCCGACGCGGAGGGCGAACTCCAGCGCGAGCGCGCGGATGCGGGGGTCCGCGGAGCAGAGGAGGGAGACGAGCCGGGGGAGCTCGCCGCGCGCGTGGAGCTCGTCCACGAGCGGGCTGCGGATGGCGGCCACGAGCCCGTTGAGCGCGCGCAGCGGCTCCGGCGAGGCGGACGCGGACGCGACCAGCGCGCCGACGGCGCGCCCCATCAGCACCGGCCCGACGAACACGTCCTTGTTGAAGCGGACCAGCGCGAGCACCGCCGCCGCGCAGCCGTCCCCGACGCCCGGGTCCCCGAGCTTCGCCTCCACCGCCGCGAACACGCCGTGCCGCAGCAGCGCGCGCTGCAGCCGCGGGTCGAACCGGCCCAGCCGCGCCTCCAGCTCCGCGAGCCGGGCGCGCGCCGCGTCGTCCCCACCCGACGACCGCAGCGCGGCCACGAGGCGCGCCACGTTCTCCCGGTCGATCCACGCCTGGATCTCGCCGGCGACGCCGCCAGCCGCGCGCGCGATCCCCCTCCTCGCCTCGCACCGTCGCCACCTCCCCCGCAAGCACCCGACAACCCCACCCCCACCACCCCCATCCCCGGCAAACCGAATCGACCACGAGAGCGCGCCAATCCGCGCGAGCAGCCGGCGCAGGGTGCCAAGATCGGGGTCGCCGGCGAGGAGATCGTCGGCGCTGGCATCCAGCGCGAGGAGCGCGTGCAGCGCGGGGCCATCGTCGCCGCCGGCGGCCGCCTCCACCCTCCGCGCGGCGTCGCGCAGCGCTCGAAGCACCCGGAGGAAGTCCTCCTCCTCCTCCATGGAGGAGCAAAAGAGGGAGGAGACGCGATATGGCTCGTTTTTAACCTTGTCGCTTGCGGGCGCAGTAAAAATCACGCCGCGAAAATTCCCCGCGATTTTTACAGCGACCAGTTAGTTTTAGTGCTAGTAGTAGTAGAACTCCAGATCGGATCGGATACTGTGAGTGACTGACTGACCGATCCGTCGTCTCGTCCGGTGGCGGTGGCTAACATATAGCCCCCTCCTTAAAAAAAACAAACAAATACTTATTTAGTATTTTAAAAAATACTACTATTGTTATTTATTTTATTGTGACTTGATTTATCATCGAATGTTATGCAAATATTTTTTTATTTGTAAAAAAAATTAAATGAAACGAATGGTTAAACGTTGGTCAAAAAATCAACAGCGTCATATATTAAAACACGGAGCGAGTATGCAACTGGATATGATGAACTTGGATATAAGTATGTTTAGATTATAGTACTAGAATGTGCCTTTTTTTTATGGGACAGAGGGACTACGTGTGGCCATGGCATGATTTTAGTTGACTGGCGCCTCGGATGAGGCAAGTTTCACATTTCACATGGCATTACGAAATTCAGTTAGAATTCATGATACGAGGAGTAGTATATGACCCTGACTTTTGAGAATTTGCGGTAATGATGATAATTAATTTTTGTTTTTGTTTTAACAGTTGACTTTGTACGCCATGTTCATCACATGTTTCTCTACCAGTAGTACTAATGTTGGGACGTGCAATTAACAATAATGCTCCAGAACACTGCTGCAGAGTGCAGATCTGAGCCTGGGTTGACCCGAAGAAAAACAAAAAGGATAACTGAATCGAAAATATTCAGTAGGCAACAGCATATACGGATCTCGACGGGAGAATATTGAATATGTCCCGGCTGTTAATGCCGTTTTTCGCAGATGTGCAACTGGTCTCCGGAAACCGAAAACGACCGGCTCTAATCGTCATGACAGAAGTTACCGCGTGATCTCTCCAATCATCTGTACTTCCCGATCTTGATAATTTTGGCCACCACGATGCTGTGATGAGTTCAGCCGTTGACCATTCAGTATACCAGTAGTAGTTTGGTCTTTGGTAGCTGGCCGTCAGACGTCGGTGCGTTACAACTCGTTGCCGTCGTTGCTCCCATCTCGTGCGTTGGGCACTTGAGCCCCGTGATTAGGATACAGAGCAAGTCATTTCACTCCATCGAATACAAATTTAGTATTCCTCGATCGTAATACACTAATACCATGTATTTTGATCTCTATCTATTAAAACCGATGTAATTATACTTCTAAAATAATATTACCTATGATATTTATTAATATGGTGTCCATGTGATATTTACTCTACAATTATAAAAACAAGTGAGGGTCCACGTATCATCCTTCTCCTATCTCTTTTTACTTCTCTCCCCAATCTCTCTCCTCAATTCAACGGCATCAACAGGGTGGGCACCGCCGTGCAGCATCAACAGGGTGGGACGAAATGGGCCGGCGATGAGCCGCGGCTAGCTGGGCCGGCCCACCGCGATGAGGCTATATGCACAGGAGGAGGAGGAAGTGAGCCCCGCACCACCACCGCCGCCGCCATGGCGCTCCGCCGCATCAACCTCTGGAAGAATCCGCTCCTCCTCCCCCGGCCATTCTCCTCGTCCTCCTCACCCATCCCGACCGCTCCGCCGGCGTCCTCCATCGACGACATCCGTCGCCAGATCGAGTCCCTCGCCGCGAGGGGCGCCCCTCCTGGCTCCTCCGCCGCCTCCCGCTCCCCACCGGAACCCGGCGAGGGGGAGGGGCGCAACCCGGAGACCTCGCTCTTCCAGGAGATGCACGATCAGATCCCGATCGCTCCGTCGTTCCATCACCATCAGTATTCGGTCGCCTGCTCTTCGCGGGGACAACGCGAGAAAGGAGGAGGAGGGGAGAGAGGAGAATTCCGATGACACGATCGGTACAGTACCAGGCACTCCGGAGGAGCATCCGGGAAATCCGACTCGATCAGAAAACTAAGGATGATATTTACCACTACAAGACAAGAACCAGTAATCTCGTTCGCACATTGCCTGTTTGATTCAATACATTTAAGAGTATGATCGATGATCTTTGTGTCATTCTTAAATCTTAAATGTTTCTTTTTTATGTTTTTATTTGTCTCAATAGGCTGGACCAGGTACCAACGCCGCAGGCCTTGATTAGAGGCTTGCCCTATCATCATCCTTAATGACTTCATCGCTGGACAGGTTAGGGTACTAACTTTCTGCAGTTATTATAAATGAACGGGTAAATATAGGTACTATACTCTTGGCATGAGTGTACATATATGTTTTATATGGTTATTGACTTTGGCCTTGTTTAGTTCATAGTTTTTTTTCACAAAAATGTCACATTGAATCTTTGACACATGCGTAAAGTATTAAATATAGATAAAAACAAAAACAAATCGTACAGTTTACATGAAAATCGCGAGACGAATTTTTTGAGCCTAATTAGTCTATAATTAGCCATAAGTGCTACAGTAACCTACATGTGCTGATGGCTTAATTAGACTCAAAAGATTTATCTCGCTGTTCCAAACGAGTTATAAAATTAGTTTTTTTATTTGTGTCCAAAACCCTTTCCGACATCCGGTCAAACATCCGATATGACAACTAAAAATTTTCTTTTCCCAAACTAAACACAGCCAAAGTGGACCATCTATCTACTTACTTTTATTCAGGATCTTTTGCTGAAAAGAGATTAGGCCGTGACATTAGATTAAAACAAACCGTTGGATAATAACTGTGGCAAATAACTCACCGTTGGATTGAATATGTTCTTTTAAGGCTCTAGGTAAGTGTGGAAAAATAGCAAGTAGTACTCGTATTAGTTCAGTACATATTTAATACTTGAATCTCATCATAGTTTTATACGTTAAATAAAAAATATGGGTATGTGTTTTAGAACTTATTTGTAGCTTCAGTGAGACTCATGTTATGTAGTGCAAAAAAAAAAAGAATTTTTATCAAGTGCAATATACAGTATGTAGCAGTTATATGATCCAATGGACATCGTCTAATGTAAGTTTGTTCTGCGTGGCAGGAAGTTGGCAATTTCCCTTATGTTCTGGACAATGGTGCTGGTGAGTGGTGACTCCAAAAGTTAGAGGGAACTGCTAAACTTGTTGCCCGCTGGTTTGGTCCAGAGTCTTGAATTTGTATTTTTTTTTTATTTTCTCCAAACAATAATACTACTTAGGTCCTGATGGTTTCAACTTAAGATTATTCATTATCGTAATCTAGATTATTAAAGATTACTGTAAACTGGATTATAATAAGCTATAGCCCTTTTTTCAGCTTAAGATTATTGTAATTTAGATTATTAAACTATATTACTATAAACGGGATTATAATAAGTCGACATAAAATAAGCTGTTAGCTGTTTGTTTCTTTAAATTACTCCATCCATCCATAAAAATTACACATATTACTTTTGTCATCAAGATCAATAAAATATTAAATCATCTTGGATGTTACAAAATTAAGAAGTGAATGCAAGCATACAATCAATAAGTATTTAGATAAGTATTTAGATAAGTCTTTGGATACTACTATCATGATGATCTCTCCAATCATCTGCTACCCCCTTCCCCCCTCCCCGATCTTTGATATTTATGGCCACCGCGATGCTGTGCTGAGTTGAGCCGTTGACTATTCAGTATACAATAGCAGTTGGTATTTGGTAGCTCGTTGTCGTCGTTGCTCCCGTCCAATGCGTTGGGCACTTGAGCCCATGGTAAGTCCAATTTAACTCTCTCGAAATATAGGCTCAATTTGATTCGTATATCTGAATCATAATATTGGATATTTTAATCAGTAACTATTAAAACATGTGTAATTTTACTTTCAGAATAGTATTGACCGTGGTATCCCAATCACTAAAGAAAATAATAAAAAAAAGTGAAGGTCCACATGTCATCCTCCCCCTCTATCTCTTTTCTTCTCTACCCAATCTCTCTCTCCCCAACTCTTCTCAACAATATCAGTAGGGGTGGGCACCACCTTGTTGCATCGGCGCCGACTGTCATTGAGGAAGTAGCTCTCCTCTTTATGCGGCACGATGTCAACGACAAAGATGATGATGACATGGTGGAAGGCGTCGGGAGAGATGGTGAGAAAGGGCGTCGAGTGTAGGGAGGAATCGCCGTTGCTTTTGGCGGTTGGCTCATACTCCACACACACTCATGCGCACCACCTCCATCACTTCCTGCGACTTGGACGACCCCAACGTCATTCGTCTAATGTGCAACAAATGGGCCCTCCCCAAGGTAGAGGCTAATTGTTGCAACCTATCACTTCTCGTTGTGATCTCCTCAGTCTGCTTTAAGTTGCTCATTGCAACGAGGGGCTCGAGCTCCAGATGGCGTCCTTGATCTGGCATGGCAAGGAGCAGCAGACCAACATCAGCCACAGAAGTAGCAGTTGTGCGTTCTTGGCGTTCACTGAGTTGGTGATAGTGAGCCCATCTCTCGACTTGCTCTCTCCTTTCCTAACTGTTGTGGCTGTTGCTACCTCGATGTTGCGTGCTTCTTCATGGACCCACCCGCACCCATGCCTCTACACTCCTGCCGCGTGTCATCATTGTCGCTGGCCACGTCCTTCATCGCCACGGTGGACCCCTCCCTCTCCTTTGCCGACCATGTGAGGGCGAGGCCGCTGGGATGACCTGAGTTGCCGTCGAGCATATAGCGATAGGGAAAAGGATATTGGGGAGAAGGAGGCTAACAAGAGGCCCCATGATTTTTATTTTTTTCCCCTTATCATTTACATATGAGACCCACTTTTATTTTCTGACCAGGCTACCATACTAATACATGTGGATCAAATCAGTGAAAAACTTCTCTCAAAACAACCAAGGAGGATTGGAATAAGTCTACATAACCCCCCAACCTATTGTCGGATGATTACTTAACCTCCTCACCTAACAAACCATGTATTTAACCTCCTCATTCTAACTAAAACCGTTTAATTAACCTCTTATGGTTGTTTCGCTCCCTGGTTCTCTTGATTTTCTCCGGCAACACCTTCTCCTCTATCCCTTCAATTACACTGTAAATCTATACCATTTTTATGGTTCCTAACATTGCCATTGAAGTTCGAATTGCATACCTGTGCAATAATTCAGTAGCACGAACAAAGTAAGAGGCACAACCGAATTTTTTAGTCAAACCATTTACACACACATATATGCTCCACAATCTTTCACGAAACAAGTAGAAAAAATAACTAATTAGTAGCATTCAGATCCGACAAAGCATGGAGTAGCAAGTATCTCTCACAAAACATGGAGACATGTAGTGGAATGCATTCAATTCTTGATTAAAAAAACAAATCTCTCATCTTTTCCCAACACACATCTTTGGTTACAGTTTCATATGCTGGAGTCAAACAGTAGGTGGGTAAGCCTCGAAGTGTTTCAAGCTAGTCTAGCCCCTCTTCCCGCACTTTTGTTGCATAAGTGGAGCAGAGCTTGGAGCTGCAACACTTGGAGGTAGAGAGCTTCTGCTAGTGCTCTGTTGGGTGCCCACATCACCCTACAAGATGAAGGTGTCTTTGATACCTGGTTCAGCAGTCGAGGGATATGAATAAAGATCGATATAAGTCTACTTTGACTCCCTTAAAAAGTGACCCGAATCTAATCCATGACCCTAAACTGCAAAACCAGATATCTCGACCCCAAACTATTGAAACCGGTGCAATTTAACTCCCTTGGTGGTTTTGGAGGGCGGTTTCGCTGACGTGTCGCTGACGTGGCGGTGTTGACCTAGTCTATGGGGTTGACATGGCGCTTAGGTGGCATTTAAATTAAAAACATATATGTGGGACCTGTTTGTCATTCACACACATACAAAATTGTGGGGCCCACTGACATGTGGCCCCACATGTCATCCTCTCTCTCTTTCTTCTTCCTCCCCTCCTCCTCCCTTCTCTATTTCTTTCTCTCTCTCCCCTTCGGCCGGCTGCGGGGAGCACGGCTGGAGCGGCGGCGGGTGGGGGCTAGAGTGGTGGCGGCCGGCGGAAGCTGAAGCGGCGGCGGCGGGCTGGAGGTTCCAGAGTGGCAACAGGCAGCTCGATGGCCGGCAAGGAGGCGGGAGAGGACGGCAGTGCCGACGTCGACGCCGACGAGATCGAGCGGGGAGATGGCGGTCGACGGCACGACACCTAAGCGCCCGAACCCCAGTCCTCACCTCCACCGGCACGGCACCCTCACCGGGGAACGAGCTTCCTGCTCCCTCCGCCGCCTCCCGCCGTCCGTGATAACAAGATCCGGCGCTCTGGCCTCTCCGCCGATTGCAACAACAAGATCCGGGCATCTGGCGTATGCGACAGGCTCACGACATGGCCAACATCGAGCCTGTCAAGCTGGTTAGGGGCGAGGGCCACCATCGAGCTACACCATTTAGCATTGCAACGACGACATCGTCAAGTCATTGCTCGAGCTCGCTGCGTGGCCGTCAACTCCCGTGCCAGCCCCATCATCACCACCAACTCATCCCCCGTTGCGTCTCCTTCAACTAGTGCTGCTAAGGCCACAAGCATCACAAAATCCAGAAATAAAATTGATTCATTTAGCAACTAACCAGAGATAAAATTGATTGTTAGTAGGTCGTTCACTATCCACTGAAGAATAGGATGAGTAGGCAGAGGGGAGTACACCCTCCCGGGGATACTCGTGCTTGCGTCGAGCGGCACTGACCCGGACATCACGTCGGCGATGAGCTGGCTCAGGTCGCTGGTGAAGCAATCGGTCTGCAGGGCGAGCGCCATCCGTCGGCGCTCCCACCGCCGCCGCCGCTTCAACTTCCGCCGCTCTGGCCCCCACCCGCCGCCGCTCCAGCCCGTGCTCCTCCGGTGGCCCGGCCAGCTAAAGGGGAGAGAAAGAGAGAGGAGAGGAAGAGGGGAGGAAGAAGAAAGAGAGAGGATGACAAGGGGGGCCCACATGTCAGTGGGCCCCACATTTTTTAATGTGTGAATGACAAACGGTTCCCACATATACATTTTTAATTCAAATGTCACCTAAGTGACACGTCAACCCACAGACTAGGTCAATACCGCCACGTCACCGAAACCACCCTCCAAAACTGCCAAGGGAGTCAAATTGCACCGGTTTCGATAATTCGGGGGTCGAGATATCCGGTTTTAGGGTTTAGGGTCATGGATTAGATTCGGCTCACTATTAAGGGAGTCAAAGTGGACTTATTCCATAAAGATCCTACAACTAGTAAAGGGAGCGAAAGTGAACTTATTTCCTAGACACGGATGATGGGTATCGGTGACAAGATGGGCCGGAATGCAATTCTCCGCCGATGAGCCGCGACTAGCTGGGCCGGCCCACCGCGTTCTTGCGCGGGCGAGGCACGCGTCCGAATGCTCGCCCAATCCACCACTCGTCGCCCTCCGCTTCGCTTCTGCTCCCCCCCCAAAACCCTATGCAGAGGAGGACGAAGTGAGCCCCGGCCACCGCCCGCCGCCGCCGCCGCCATGGCGCTCCGCCGCATCAACCTCCGGAAGAAGCCGCTCCTCCTCTTCCCGCGGCCCTTCTCCTCGTCCTCCTCACCCAACCCTCCCTTCCCTCCTCCCCCGCCACCGCCCAACGACCGCGACGACGCCTCACCAAAGCCCAGCGAGGGGGAGGGGCGCAACCCGGCGGCCTCGCTCTTCCAGGACTTGCGCGACCGGCTCATGTCCACCCCCTCGCATCTGCCGTCGCGCCGGATCCCGACCGCTCCGCCGCCCCGCCCCTCGGGGAACGCCGAGCCGGTGGCCTCTATCGACGACATCCGCCGCCAGCTCGAGTCCTACCGCGGATCCCTCGCCGCGAGGGGCGCCCCTCCTGGCTCCTCCCCCGACGGCGCCGCCCCCTCCTTGCTCGACCTGGTGAGGAGCACCTCGTCCCCGACCTCACCTCAGGGCCCCAACTCCGGGCACTTCTCATCCCTCGCCGAGAGCTTGCGCAATCTCCCCTCTGGACGGCAGCCGCAACAGCGGAGGCAGCCTCGTTCGACAACCCCGTTTTTGTCCCCCACTGCGCATCCCATCTTCGGGAGGGAGCTCGGGGAGAACGCGAGAAAGGCGGAGGGGAAAGAGGAGAATTCTGCCATTGAGCTTAAGAAGGAATACAGCTACGCAGAGCTCGGGAAGAAGCTCGGCCAACTGCGACCGTCCGGCGCAGGGAACGATGGAAAGGAGTGGTTCTCGCTTGAGGAGCTGCAGGGACGGATCGCCAAGCTCGCAAATTTGGACATTGCTGATGACATGCGGTTAGGCGGGCAGTATGTGGCACTCCGGAAGAGCCTCCTGGGAATCCAAGCCGATCAGAAAACAAAGGATGATATTAAGAAGACAAGATCCAGTAATCTCGTTCGCACATTGCCTGTTTGATTCACCTCTTCGCTGCTTATGTGATGATGAAACTGATATGTGCATCTGTTGGCGTTTTATTGTGCTTGGTTGGGAGCAGTGCAGGGATTGTCATTTTTGGCGAACATTGGTGGGCCGGCAACGCCGCAATACTTGCAGCATCCTCCACAGGAGGAGTTGCTAGAGAGGGTGAGATTGACAATTTGCTGTTCCGTTTCTTTTGGTTACCGAAGAATTTGCTCCTAAGGTTTTGATTGGTTACTGCTTTTCTCAGTATTTCCATCCAGACCACATGTCGTCGGAAGAGAAGATGAAGTTAGAGCTCCAGAGGGTGAGGGACGAGTTTAAGATGTCTGAAAATGACTGTGGCTCTGCGCGAGTTCAAAGTGAATATGGCCCCTCCCTTCCTGAGTTAACTGCAATTTGATAATTCTCTGTTGCTAAACATGTTCTCAGAAATTAGTAACACTATCCCTTGCTTTTATACAAATATTATGCAGCATCAACCATGTCATCCTTACTGGCTTACTTTATTGTGCCCCATACCCAAATAACCTTTTTATTTCTTTTCACGCCTTTTGTTTAAGGGTGCACAATACACAGAAAAATGAGTACTTCCTCTGTTTCACAATGTAAGACTTTCTAGCATTGCCCACATTCATTTAGATGCTAATGAATCTAGATATATGTATGTGGGCAATGCTAGAAAGTCTTACATTGTGAAACGGAGGGAGTAGTTTGTATGGAAGTAGAACACCTGCACTTGTCAGCATCTTACACTAGCATAATATACTAACATTGATGTCACAAGGTTAATATATGATTGTTGTTGGGTCAGTTGATTGTTTGCATGTCATGCCTTATTTCTTAATTGTTTTTTTCGTAGGAAATGAACGTTACCATTGTTTTGGTATGAAGATTTGTGTTTTAGGAGATACTGAAAGATGATCTTTGCTCAAGTAGAATAGTCATGAAAACAAGTCAGGCTGATGGAATATTTTGTCTCGAATTGAATCATTTAGGTTTGATTACCATTATCATATTAACAGATCACTATACCATTTTCTGCCAAAGAGTGTAGACTATACTCTTTCATAAGCAAGTCAGTGACCCTTTGTGATGCTTAGAGCTGTAGGAAGATTGGTAATATGTATACCTGAAAACAAACATCTCTGTAGAGCTGTTCTTCTGGGCAGTTTTGATCACCCTAAAGAAAGCCTTTCCTTTCATATAAAATCTTGCATATATCTATTGACTGCCTATGCATCTTGAAGCTGTTCTGATTCATTTTTTCATATATTGACATTGAATACTAGCTCTTTTGGCCTTTTGGTATATGCTGTGCATGTCACTGATATGCCCCTTCTTCATGTTACAGTTGCCCAATTGACCGTGAAAATCAAGCATCTGTCAACTGTTCTACACAAAAAGGTGAGCACGTCTTGAATTCCCCTTCTGCATATGGCGATATTCCTTAGATACAGTGATGCTACTTTTGGATTTTATGAAGTTAGTGTTTGATGAAATGACACGTAAACTTTGTGGTGCAGGATAAACATTCGAGAAAGGGGCTTCAGGATATGGTCCAAAGGAGGAAGAAGTACCTCAAGTACCTGCGTAGAACTGACTGGGATTCATATTGTCTTGTCCTGTCGAAGCTGGGTCTTCGTGATGTACCGGAGTACAAAGCTCCTGATTACAAGAACAAATCCACCAGTAAAGCCAAATCTAAGAAGAGCAAGAGCAAGAAAAGAAAGATGAAAGCATAAATCTGTAACCAAGATCGTCTTCACCTCTCCCTCCCTGCGGCCTTGAACTGCATGGCCAGCAAGGTTGATGATCGAAAATACAGACGCTCTGCTCGAAATGGGTTTGATCCATTCTCTCAGTGTTGCTCGAAATGGGTTCGATCCAGTCTCTCAGTGCTGTATCTTTTGTAGTAATAACAACGGATTGTTAATCCCCTTCTCATTTTCCTTTTTGGTAGCAATGTTTCTTATTTTTCATGAGAAGGTGCAGCCATCCTGTAACAGCTACATGTGTTTTTTTTATAGAGTTGAGTTCTCCCATTCTACTTCCTGGGAGAACGGGATTGATCATTGATGAATACTAATAACTTCTCTTATTCACTGTGTCTGATTCCTTGTTATGGAGGTGATGCTGGGTGGCACCACCCAAGTTTTAATCAATAAGATTATAATTGTGTTTTTTTATTGGACTAGCAAAAGTAATGACAATCAGAACGCCAGAATATCTACAGGAACAGAGCCATTCGTTTATCCATTGAAAAAATATACTTCATCTGTTTCAGATTATAAGTCGTTTTGACTTTGATCAAGATCAAACTGACCAAATTTATAGAAAAAAATAGTAACATTTTCAACCCAAAACAAATTTATTATGAAAATATATTTAATTATTGATTTGATGAAACTAATTTAGTATTATAAATATTACTATATTTGTTTATAAACTTAGTTAAACTTAGAATAGTTTAACTATGACCAAAGTTAAAACGTCTTATATTTTAAAACAGAGGGAGTATAAAAGAAAAAAAAAAGAAGTAGAAGAGAGAAGTTTATGGGCCGCAAAGAAGAACAAAAAGAAAAAAGAAGAAGGACGGGACGTAAACGAAGCCCCTCTCTCCAAGCTTTGACGAAAAAGGCCTAAAGCGAGGGAGCACGAGGAGGAGGAGGAGGACTCATCGCTTGCCTTCCCCGACGCACGCACGCACTCCACTCCGCCCTCCTCCACCGCCGCCGCCGCCTCCGCACCCAGTAAAACCCCCACTTCCTCCGCCGCCGCCGCCGCCGCCGCCGCCGCGGGAGAGTGGCGCGAGGGAGCGGCGGGCTGCCCCTGCCCCTATCCCTCGCCCACGAGCTCCAGATCCAGCTGCCTCTGCATCCGCGGGTCTATATCTATGGAGGCGAGCTCCTCTTCCACCTCCTCCCCGCCGCCGCCGCCGCCACCCTCCATACCGGCCTCCAGCGCCTGGGCTGACGCCTCGCCGCTCCTCGACGCCGCGTGCCGTGGTATGCTTCAAGCTCTAGGCTAAGCTATATGGGATTGTTCTGTGGCGTGCTGGGATCATACATGTAGATTTCGGTATGTTTGGATGCTGGAGTGGGCTACTTCACGCATTGTGCTCCCAGTGCGATTTGCATTATTCCAAGCTGTGAAATTGAACCTTAAGGAGCAGAAAAACAATGAATTATTCCAAGTCTCTTCTGAGTCAGAATGCCGGCCCAGCTGTTCAAGCCTTCTATACGCTCTATTGCAACACCATTTTGGTATATCGCTTGTGGAGCTCACATACATGATGATTTTTGGGTATATTGCAGATTAGTCGAGGTCCTAGCGTCTTCTATAATTTTTTGATATATTTTAAAAAGGTTTATTAAACTAGCCCGAAGAGTTCCGATGAGAGGTATATTGGCATCAATGGCATTACAAACTGCATACCTGGAAAAGGTCATTGTATTAAAGATGATAGTGGTTCTCTAATTGTTTTTCATTGCATATGGTTTCTTAGGCATGCATTGCTGCACACAGTTTTTTTTCCTTGTCCAAAGCCAATATATAAAGTTTATACTTTATAGTTGCTTGTTACAAACTGTGCAGTGCTGATAATGCAAGATGTCGCTGTTGGAACATGGATGTAAATGTATCTAAGGTTGTCATGTTTTTAGGAGGACATATAGCTAATGTAGGTTTTTTTTTTCACTTTGACTTTTCTCCTTCTAACTCTTTCATGCTTGTAGATCTCCAGGATGGGGAACTTATACATGGAGAGAACTTTAGTCTTTTTGGTGCAATGTCTGCATTGGAGGTAAGCGCCACATTATTTCTCTTGTTATTTTGATTTTGTTTATCCTCTCTTCTATCTAGTGTATATAGTGAGTGTCGAGGCCCATTATATACTTGTTTCTTTTAAATTATTGTTTTGTGCAACGAATTGTTATTGTGATCTATGCTTGGAAATCTAGTTATGCACTTTTTATGAGAAGCAGTCTCTGGACAGTTTCTTCTTGATGTGGTTGCATACTAAGTACTTGGAGATTGGGTAATATATTTAGACAAAGAAGATCTTCTGACTCATCTTAGTTTTCTTGGAAACTACAACACTTGTGGCAGTCATGACGAACTCTATGAAGCTATGCTAGCGAACACACTTGCCAATTTAAAAAACCTGAAGCATGCTTCTTACATAACTCCACAACAATCACAAGTACAATCATATTCATGATAACACTAGAGAAATTAAAGGACCAGATGACAGTTTCTGTCTTCATTCTACAATTTACAGACTGTCCATTTCAGAGTTACCCCTGGACCTCACTATAACTGTCCACTGTTCTAAAAGAACTTTGCAAGTTTGTTTATAGAATTATAGGATTTTCTGTTTATTCTCATTTTCTCCAGTGCATATTTGGCTGAGCATTTAACGAGTTAATTGAAGGATCAGTTATTTTTTTTTAATATGTTGCTTACTTTTAGTTCTCAGTGTCTATTCCATCCTAATATAGATAATGGATCCTAAAATGGATTGTGGAATTGAGAAAAGTGGATACTACTCCATTGATGAAGCCATAGAAGATGGTATTGCCCCAGTTCCACTTAGTTTGGACAGAACACTTGACATTCAACGCACTCTTGATGTCATGGATCATCTTTTCTCATGCGAGGTACTTCAGTGCTAACATGGATCTAATATTTTTGGCTCTCGTTTTGACTAAACCGGTATGATTTAATACTTCTTTCAGGCAACATGGCACAAGGGTCACACTCTAGCACAGACTGTCTTTACATGTATCTACCTTATGAGAATGGAGAGAACTTCATCACATGCTATACTAAATAGCTTTTGCAGAATTTTGCGTGCTACCTGTTATGCTGTGGTTTCTGTTGTTTCTACTGCCCGAACTCATGAGGTATTTGCCATTTGGAGGTTCTCTACACTACAGCTATTTCCATTGATCTTGTTTATCAACTACTCAGACACAATTTGTACTTATGCTAACATAGGAGTCATGCATGTGGGTTTATTCCCATAATCTTTTTACAAAGGATTTTATGTCTCTCTATTGATGAAAAATCCTGCACCGTGACCACAATCATACTACCTCATTATGAGTGAATTAGTATATATGCCATTTTTCATCTTTTTGCTTGCAGAAATGTTGATAGAGTAATATGTTTGCATTCCTTCTGTATTATACCTTAACAAGAAAAATCTGTTCTGTGAGTTGCAGTACTGTCATTAATCTGTACTTTTGTTCAATATATCAACCAAATCACTTGTGAAACTCCAAAGATATATTATTCTGGTAGCTTCATTACAACTGGGTACTAGTACCATGTGCAGTCCTTTTTGTATATTGATGTAATTGTGTCAGGCAACTGATGAATTTTTCATGTGAAGTGTGCTAATCTGGGACCTCTAAATCTTGTGCATATGATAATGAGGGACAGCTATAGTATTTTAGATTCAAAGTAATTACATAACTATGCACCACTTCTTAGTGCTTTTATTGAGTGGCCAAATCGGTTCTTTAGGGTGCTTTGTTGATCAAGATCTGTTCAAATAACTCATATGAGGCCGTGAGGACACGAACATGATATTCTTACAAGTATAAAATTTGAGTGCTATTTACTCCTGTTAGCATGCGACACAGTTATCTTTTCTTTAATCCTTACAATTCCACTTGTTATATAAGATACAAGTTTTACTTGTCTTTCTAGGAGGAGGACCTCTTTACTATGTCTTTTGGGCTGCCTTTAAGAGATGAAGGTGATGAAAAGTGCCTGTCAATTCTTAACTCAGTTGAAGAGACAATAGCTCGTCAATTACGTGCTTGTAAAGCCCAAGCATTGTCCAGGAAAAAGACACTAGAAGGTATCTGAGTGCCATGACAAAAATCTTTGGACAACATGAAGTGTGTATTGTTTCACACTCATCCAATCATGTTCCTGTTATAGTCCAGTAATATAATTGTCCTCAATCATTGCTTCAGTGGTACTGTAGAAGACTTGAAACTGAGACATTGTGTTCAAAAGTTAGTAAATATTAAGTTTGAGGCAAGATGAAATGTAGTAGATGCATATTTACCTGTTTTATTATATCTAGCTATTGCTCGATTCGGAAATTGCGCAAACTAAATTATTTGCTTCCTCCATTAAATTTTCATGGCTGTAGAACTGAATTTTGATAATTAGTTTATTTAATGAAGTTGTGAAATAATGACACCTTATAAAAAAAATATGGAGTTCCTGTGTGTATTTGAAGTTTCTGAACTGCTAGGTGCTTGCATCTTAAAATACTTGTCGATTAGCTTGGCTATCAAAAAATAAAGAGAAGGGAAAGGGAGCAATTTAATTTCTTTAAATGTTTAATATGTTTGGACTTTTGCAGATGTGGGTTTTACTCTGTTATTATACATTTTATGAAATTTATTACTGCAGGTCTTGAATCCCTACAGGACAATCCTGATCTGGAAGAGGATTACTGCAGAGCATTGTTATGCAGATTACGTTTTCGTAAGGTCTCAACCCATTTTCCTATTCAATTAATTGTAAACTTTCTTTATTCATGTACTTGAAAAATGTTTATCAATAAGCAGGCAATTTTTTTTCTGTTTATGGATGCTCTGTTAACTGGTATCTCTGTTGTTGTAAAATAAGCATATAAAATCGCTGAACCAGATAACCAACCTAGCACCACATCAAACCATTATTTTTGGTTCATAACAATGATGCAGTATGGGTATCCTGTTGCATGCTAAGGGCAATTGGTGAATTGTACTAAAAAGTAGTTTCAGACTAATCGAGGATGACTCCAGGATAGAAACAGATGCTATTTGAAATGTCTGTAAAAAGCTGTTTGAATGTTTATTTTCAAATGAAGAAAAAGTGATACATTTCGCTTTCAATTCTATACATACTGTGTCAGCCACTAATGCATTGACTTCAATTATTGTTTGTTGATAATACTTACTCCATCTAATGAGGATTATTTTCTACTCAGCACCGAAGATAGCACTGCATTAGTTTATAACTTAAGATCGAGTAGAGGAAGATAATAACCTTCCAGTTGTTGATGATGACTCCCAAAAATGATTCATAAGAGAGTATTTAAT